AACATACTCCCTCTCTCCATTTTATGTTACGGTAAACGAAGAGTGATTGCGTTTCAGGTGAATCACGGAGCACCGAGCGATCCGTTACGTCACGTCGGCGATCTCGGCAATATTGAGGTCGGAGAGGACGGAGTGGCGCGTATCGACGGCATGGATCACTACTTGAGCCTGGTGGGCGTCCGGGGTGCGATCGGCAGGGCTCTGGTGATCCACGCGAAACCCGACGACCTCGGCCGCGGTGGAACCGAAGAGAGTCTGAAGACCGGATCGGCGGGCGAGCGCGTTGCTTGCGGCGTCATCGGGTTCTTGTAAAAAGATTTCGATGGACAGTGAATTCGGCTATTGCATGCACTAAATACGCACTGAAAGCTGCCGTATTTAATTCACTTAAAAAGATACTGCGTAGTATGCAAGATTTTTGGTATGCACAAACAGATTTTGGTGAAGGATATAATTCCTTGCTAAGAGGACAAAATATTTTCTTTAACATATCAATTAAAATTAATATTGTTATATATTTCTTTATAATTTTATATACTTTTATTCTATTTTAAATACTGATATTTTGATATCTTTTGATAACCATATTCCGAGTCTCGACAGTTTTCGTTGAAATTAAAATAATTTAAAAAGGAATAATTATTATAAATATTTATTACATCACATGTTTATTCATTGTTATGAAAATAGCATAAGAATTAAGCTGGTTTTAAACTAGATATTCACGTAAAATAAAATATGATTATCATGAGTGTTATTCACATAATATTACTGTTATAATATAATTAATTTTATTCAGTTAAAGTAATTATGTGTGATATATATATATCTCTCTCTCTCTCTCTCTCGACAGACGTTATAGATAAATTTATGTACACAGCCTGTAGATTGTGCGCACTAGTGCATCCACCCAAATCCGCTAAAAGAGATGTTGCGTATCGCAACTTCATTCACTAATTTAATTGCGTCCGTTTGTACCGATCAATAAATCACGAATGTATAAATAAAACACCTGTTAAATGCATTTTATATACACCTTTATGTAATCTCTCTAGATCATAAAAATAAGATGAATAATTCTAATAAGAAAGATTGATAATAGCTAAGCCAATTTTCCTTCCTTTTTAGTTCGTACTTCTAATAAACACTAAAATAAAATAAATTTATTGATAATTATACATTAAATAACAACAATAGTCATGTTGATATAATAGTATTTTATATGAGTATATAAAAAAAATTCTTTTAGAGACATTTTCGATAAATTACGATCGAATGTTTTTCGCAACAAAATTTCCACGAAATGGTCCACAAAAATGAAGCTGTTTTTTTACGCCAATACACGGTCAATCAGAAATTTAACGAAATTTCAATGCGAAGAATTCAACTCGGAAATTGGACCGAGTTTGTCGTAACAAGATTTTATTGTAATAGCTTTCGCCGTTGATACATTTTTCGGTGAAGTAAATACAACAATATACGACATAGCCAGACAAATACACATACAATTGTATATGAAAAACGCAATCAACGATTCTCGATAAGGAATCCAAACTGCAAAGTTTCCGGATCTTTTAAGTATCGTATGCAGTTTATTTCTACACGTGCACATAATATTATTACAATTAAAACTTAGACGTCAGTATAAAAGGAAGGGAGAAAAAGATAAAAATCACAAGAACGAACGTCGAATATTCTACGGACGAATCGTTCGCTTCTTCTGGGAGCCCACACGTACGAGAGTCCCGAGTGGCTGAGGTAGCAAGAACTCTGGACAAGAACTCTGGACTCCACAGGACAGAAGTTCGTCGAAGTAGCGAACTGCGAAGTGGCGAATCTGTTAACTTGTTCTCGTCGATGATGTTCCTGAATGCAGCAGGTACTCAAGAGGCTTCGACGAAGCCCCGCGCATCTTTTCCACCGTTGAAGGTCCTACGGGCTCGCCCATCTCCTCGAGGGCTTGCAGCACCTTGGTCACCACTTCCGGCGGCGAGGTCCTCCTCGCTCCCGGCGCGTCTGGTCGATGCTGGAGGTCGTCCTGGCGCGGTTGCCTTGGCAGCGCGAACGTTTGTGGCTGAAAATGCACTGCAAGGACGTTGAACCGTCCGTTTGAGCACTTCATGTCTCGTCGTAAAATTACCTCCGAATCCGCAATATCGATCGTTTCCGCCCCGATTTACGCCGCCAAGAACCGAGAGCGAACCAAGATAATAAAATCAACGATGATTTTTATTATTACCAAGATTAATCCCGCCCGCGATTTCTCGTTGTCTACGATATCAGCATTTTATAAATCGTGACATATCGGCAGTATATCTTCGGGTTAATTTATCTTTTGAGATATACTATGGGGTTGCTTTTTTTTCAATTGCCTTTTATCGATCAATTTTATAGCGAATTCGGTTGGACGCATTAGTGCGCGCTGGTGCATATTAAAACCGTTGTACATTGATTTAATCAAAGTGTAAAAGTGAAATGCAAATATTTTAAATTATAAAATACATACTTTATCTAACAGTACAATAAAGTGTATTAAGAATTTCACAGTTTAACTGGTTGTTGTATTCATATTAAACACATTTTTACATCAATCTGTGTACGACTGCTTTAATATGCACCAGTGTACACTTAGTGCATCCAATCGAATTTGCTATTAATGCAGAATTCGATTCATATCGTATAATATTTTAGCGCATAATAAGATTAGATTAGATCATATAATGTTTATATATAGATATAATAAGATTAAAATTGATCAATCAGACACTTTATTATATTTAACCCGCATAAAAATATACTATTAGTGCAATAAGTAAATTCGAATTGTTGTAATAGTGATGGAGAAAATTTCATTAAAATTACACTAAAATTTTATTGTGAAAATAAGTATTATTGATTAGTATCATATTTCAGAAGATACACGACAAAATTATTAAAAAAAAAGTTTCCTTTATAAATTCTAGAACTAATTTTATGATGCATGCATTCTAGAATTCATGAAGGAAATTTTTTTTATTATAATTTTGTCGCGTATCCTCTGAAATATGATGCTAATCAATACTTATCTTCACAATAAAATTTCAGTGTAATTTTAATGAAATTTTCTCCACATTTATTACACACTATTCGAATTTACTTATTGCACTAGTAGCATATTTTTATGCGGGAATTCTCCTAATGACGTCAAAGTTTGCAACACGATTACTAACGTTAGATTTGTAAGACCCATTTAATTTGTGTTAAATTATAAAAGCTAATTAATTTTCAGAACTAATTCATTTTAAGAAACCAAAATGACAACTCGTATTGAGAAGAATGAATGTTAAGTAATTTTAATAAAAATAATCCAAATTTGCAAATCTAATGTAAAGAAAATTGAATTTCATACTTCTGACAAACAAATTTATCAGGTCTTTCTATGGTTGAATTAGTAGATATACACTTTTGGAACTTAAAGTGAGACAAGTATATATTTGATATTTAACGAAAGCGAGAAAGAAGTTCTAGTGCAAGAAAAAAAATAGACTTATAATTGAATGGGTCAATAGACCTACCGTAATTAACCCTCCGAAAGGTTAAAGATATTTCGATAATACTATAAATTAAATTTTTTAATTTTTTCTCAGCTTGGCTCAAATTAATTTGGCAGCATATTGACTCATCTCAATAGATTCTTGTAGAAATCATCTCAATAGCTTTGAATAGAAATCCAATAGTAACATTTTTTATGTATATACATTTAGAAGCAAATTTGTATAAACAATTTGTATGAATCACGCCAATATAAATTGTATAAATCGCATAAAAAAAAAATTATTTAAAAATTTAATGATCACTTTACGCTCCAATTATTTTTATTTATACGGCAAAATAAGAGCTCTTCTCACTGAGATTAAAGTGAATTTTTTTAAATAAATGCATTTCTCATAACAACGGAGGTAATTCTCCGCGGCAACGGAGGTGATTATCGCTACATTACTAGGAACATCCAGGACGTCGTAATCCGAAATGTCATCTAAATCATCCGCATCGAAGTTACTGCGGCCGCATCTAATGACAAATTGCAAGCAGTTGATGATCAGCCTTTTTGATGACCTCCACATAATCATGTGCGAACATTTTTGGACGGGACCGTCGCGAATAACGACGTGCGAATTACATTGTCACGAGTCGTGGGGTTTCGTGTAACGTAAATGTTGACAGAAGTGATTAGACGCGAATACACGAGTGTACGTTGAAGTTCGTTAACGTGAACATAACAAAAGCGAACTTAATGTGGTTTGATATACAAAATGACATTTAAATCTAAAAATACCGTTTTAACAGTTTTAATACTGTTTTAACTAGACTGTTTTAATACTGTTTTAACAGTTTTAATACTGTTTTAACCGTACTGTTTTATTCAGAAAGTCCTCAATATATTTAAATTACAGAGAAAGTCTTATATCATTATAATTATATCGAATAGTAATTTTATCGTAGATATATTGGTCTAAGGGCCGATTGTTCTATCTTTTGATAAATTTTACCTGTTAAGTAAACTCGGCAATCCGCGCATATGATTGGGTAATCTTATTACTTACCCAACAGGTAAAATTTACCAAAAGGTGGAATCACAATCAGGCCTAATAAATCTATGTCTTTGAGTTTTACAATGGTATCGCACGGGTGGTGGGCGCACACGCGCTATGGCGTAAATGAAATAAATGTAATTTGTACTAGCATGATATTCTTGTAATTATAAATTGTAACTCCTTTTAGAAAAATTGGTAATACAATGAAATTTAAATTAATATTAGGTTATTCAAATTAATAGAATTAATAAAGGAGTTCACATTACGTTAAATGAATTATATTACAATAAAAATTATGGCTAATTATATAGCGCGCATACATGTAATTATAATGGTCGAAAATCAATTTTACAAATTTTCTATATTTCTTTACAAGCGTATCGAGAAAATAAAATCGAATACAAGATTAAAATATCGGAATGCCGGTATGCTCTACATTTAAATCTATTAAAAATGGATGTCAAAGTTATCTTGAAATTTATTATCAGAGCTATATCAAGAAAACAGCTTCGCATAGATACGTTTTTATAAAATTAGAAGAATAATGATTCTTTTCACAAAGATAGAAAAATGTGTATGTTGAAAGTACATGTGAAGAATATGTTGAATGTCACTATCGCCTGCCTCTCCCTCTACCTCGCCCACCCCTGCCACCTCTACCGCCCCTGGCGCCGCGTCCTCTACCACGGGCAGCACCTACAAACAAATAATATAATTAATATAACTAAAAAAAATTTTATTATATAACTGTGATGATTGCAAAGAAGTATAAAAAAGAAAATATCTCTTATCAGTTAAAGTTAAAAGCATAATAGGATTAATATTTGTTGGATTATCCCTTTCAGCACTGAATATTTTTAACAAATGGATTGTGGAATATTTTACTTTGTAGCTTGCTTCAACATTCGATATTTCTGTTTATTGTTAAAACTAGACACACAAATATATGCCTAGACATATAAACATACCTCTCGCAGCTTCCTTCTTCTTGGCTTTGGCCTTCGGCGTATCATCAATTAATAATGTTTCCAATGGCAACGAATCAGGCAAAATGTAATATCTTATATTGTTTCCTCGTAAACTAAGGGTTTCCAATTGTATCGGTTCACGATTCTTTATTGTCATTTTTACTGTTTTTAGATGCGTGTTCATGGCGACGTCAACTCCTGTAACAAAATAATTTATCAACAATAAATGATATTGTACCACATATAAATATACAATTAATAGCAAATTCATTCAATTAAACGCATTAGTGTGCACTGGCACATATTAAAGCTGTTGTATATTGATTTAATATGAATGTAAAAGTGAAATGCAATTATTCAAAATTAGAAAATACGTACTTTATCTAATAGCACAATAAAATGTAATGAGAATTTCATGGTTTAACTGGTTTTTGTATTCATATTAAACACACATCTTTACATTTAATTTGTATACAATGGCTTTAGTACACCAGTGCACGTCCACTCACATTCACTATGAGAAATAAAGGCTTAAAATAATTTATAATTAATAATATTATGCACAGGGAATGGAAATAACTTATCAATTACTTGTTATACCATTACTTTCCTTATCGTTACTCTGTTATACTTAATAACAATGACAATAACAAATTTTTTTATTACTGTTACTGAAAAGAATCATATCGCAAAGTTACATAACAAAATCATATAATTAAGACAAGTAAATCACGTAATGGATTATTCCAAATCAGTACATGATTTTTTTAAAATTATGATTTGAAAAATCACATGATATTAGAAATAATTTCTTCCATTATGTAATTTTATAATTATTGAATTTTAAAGAATTGAATGATAGAAATAGAAGAAAAAGAACATATCATGTGACTTTTCAAATTATATAATTTTAAAACATCACATACTGATTTGGAACAATTCATCACGTGATTTACTCGTTTTAATTACATGATTTCGTTATGTAATTGTGTGACATGATTTTTTCAGGACTGTAATAGTAACATAGGGGTTGGGAGGTCATTCAATCATTATTTATAATGAAAGTCATTCATTACTCAAAAAGTTGATCCAGCATTTTATAACTCGTTACTTATAACGAGGAAAAAAAACTCATTATTACCTTTTTTTCAGTAAATAAACGCGTAATGGTGCTAGCTACATAAAGTGACTTTCCCAACCTTAGCACAATCTCAATGTTTAAGTACTTATCATTATAGTCATGAAAAAATGTAACGTCATTATCAAATTGTTATTATAATAAGAAACGAAAAAAGTAACGGAATAGTAACTATTCTATTACCTGATTTTTGTAAAATTGTATTAATACAATTTTCATAAAAATACATTCTTATATATATATATATATACCGAAGGAAATTAAAAAAATTTTTAATTATGAATAGATCTCCCACATTGTTGATGTAATTAATTTTATACAGCAACACAGATTTGTTTCTAACCTGACGCTACTTGACACCAAATCACAACAAAACATCACTTTGACATACCTGTAATTGTGCCGGTGACTTGAGTGCCATTTTTTAATTCTATCGTCACAGTCTCGTGACTGAGTTTCATCAAAAATCTGCAAAAACAACATTAGCTTTTGAAGAAATGTTAATGTTTTCGCGCAAAAACGTTTAAAGTATAGGTTAGGGTGCACGCAACGAATCATTTGAAGTTCTCACGGAAATCATGTACACAATTCGTCGCACATATGCATAGAAAATTCAATCTTTTTGTTATGTTTCTTTTTATTATATAATTTCTCACGTATCTTACGTACCTTACTAGCTTCATAATGCGGCTAGATTAACCACCCCACAAATGAAACGATTTACCGATACCGGCGGATGCTGCAGAATACTATCAATCATCATGGCTGCGTCACCGACGAGATAATACTATTAAAGATAGTCGGCTCATGGTAGAAAATGGTATACTCGTTTTACAATAACCTAAGGCCGGAATCAGACTACGCATTGAATATTGAGATTGAAGATTGAAAGATTGAAATTTGACCAATCAAAACAATAGGAGCTAAAATTCCTTTGTCCTCATTGGTCAAATTTTAATCTTCAATCTGAATGCCTTATGCTAGATTCACACTACATCCGATTTTCGTCGTACGACGCACTGTATCCAATCAAAAAACAGGATTCCGATAATACGAAGCAAAATTCATCGGAATCCTGTCTTCATGCTCTCCTATTGGCAGAGCGTGTAACGTCAACCAATAGGAAAGATTGATCCAACCCAGATTGGTGTAAACCCGATCGAGCCGAAAACGCTATTAAGTTCTGTCTTGAGGTGTCGCGAACCAATCAGAGGGCCGCATTAGCGTCTTGAGACGTTACTTAAGACGATCTTGAAATAAGAGGATCAATTCTGTATCTTGAAATGAAAATTACAAAAGTGAGCAAATTTACTAGAATACTGATAATTTCATTGGTCAACACCTAGTAAATTTGCTCACTTTTGTAATTTTCACGTTATTTGAAGATATAGACTAATATTCATAGTCGATTCTTATATTCAAGACCGTCTTAAGTTTTGTCTTGAGGTGTCACGAACCAATCAGAGAGCCGCATTGGCATCTTAAGGCCGGAATCAGACTACGCATTGAAGATTGAGATTGAAGATTGAAGATTAAAATTTGACCAGTAAGAACAAAGGAATTTTAGCTCCTATTGTTTTGATTGGTCAAATTTCAATCTTTCAATCTTCAATCTCAATATTCGATGCATAGTCTGATTTCGGCCTTAGACATTACTTAAGACGGTCTTGAAATAAGAACCAACTATGAATACCGACTCAAGAACCGATTATGAATACCGATTATGCTTCGTGCATTTGAATTGCCTAAGATGGCTGAGTTCAGTCACGCTTTCTCATTGGCCAGCAAAAATGCTGCGCAATAGCACATCTTATAACGTTTTCCACTGGCAGAGCCGATGCGCACTCAATGCACTTTAAAGCCGTTGTACACAAATCGACGTAAAGATGTACATTTAATAAAAATATAGAAACGAATTAAACCATGAAATCTTCAATAAATTTTGTTGTGGTATTCGATAAAATATACGTTGGGTATTTTATTAATTTAGATATATCACTTTACATTCAGATTAGGTTAGTGTACAACAGCTTTAATGTGTACTGAGTGCGCACCAGTTCTGCCAGTGAAAAACGCTATTACTTCTACCATGGGCTATACTGTAAAGATTTTTTATGCAAAAAAACATCGAAATAGGAGAGCTCAGTATAAGTGTTGATCGATAAAATAGATTCGAATGCGTTTTTCATCAAAGAGGTAACAATATTAATATTGGATATCTTATCAATCATGATATGTGCATTATATTTTTATCATTGAACAACTTTAGGTATAGTAATTTTTATTCTGCACAAGTGCAGAGTAATGCAGGTGACTGAATTAGCTATATTTATCACACATGGTAAACAAAAAATAAATCGGTGTGGTTGGGTATCGAGGATTGCTGTAAGATGTAATATTTCTGGTGAGACCGACGACTTGTAAATTAATATGGATGACGACCCGCGACTGTCACATTATGTATACATTTATATGGCCAACAGGGATAAACCGTTGAAATTTGCATTTACTGTTGGTGAAACCATCGAATATTTGTGTATAAAGGTGTGAATAATTCTTTTCCTTTCAGTTAAATAAAGCAGAATGGAATGTTATATCTTTATGATAAAAACGAATGTTTCTAATGATTTTCAAAACTGCTCTGTGTTATCTATTTATCATACACCGTACTAACATCTTCATTAAATAGAATCACAACAATAAATCGGCTCTCCTACTGTCAGTATTTATTTATTTTTGCACAAACAAACAGTAACATCAATATAATTATGATTTTCTTCTCAACAATGTATCTGTTATGTACATACAAGATGTGTTATATAATATTTATATTGTGTGAAAAATTTTAAATTTTATAAAGTTACTGTTAGTTTGTATTCTATGGGTTAATCGAAAGTCACTGATCAAAGAGGATGCAATAGAGATTCAAACTAATTTAGAAAATTCTATATATAACCACAGTATTATTATTTGTATTATACAATTTGATTTGCGACTACGCACAACCACTGCTTGCCCTAAGATTCATCCTGGCTATTGAATTGTAACTACGGTTGTATGTTAATGAATCAAAATAAATATATTTGTTTATTCATATTATTTATTGATCTTTGTAAAATAATTTATTAATAAATCTAAATCTATTTTTGTCAATTTTTTATTCTGTCAAAGATTTGATTTGCACCTTTTTTATTGTTTCTGCAAAATTAAATTCATTTTTCCATAACTTATATTTCAATAAATTTTGGTTATGCTTCTATTTTTATCCTTGTATGCAAAGCAATCTTAATATTTTTTTAAATCAAACCTATTTAATTTATAGATATGCCATACTTTCAATATAAGTCCTTTAGCAAGACATCTGTTTGCACTGCAAAGTTATTCTTCAAAACTATGGTTCCCTTGTGGTCATATACTGGAAGAAGACTCAGAGAAGTACAGATTCAACTTTCGCTTGAGATTCAAGCCATCCAGTATGGACAGGCTGAGAGAAATAGATTTAAATGCATATAATTATTATTTTGAACAAGTTCGCAAGGATTTATTGGATAATAAAGTACCTGACATTGTTTATGAGAAACATAAACATGAATTAATTGGCCTAGGCGTTAGCGATATGTATAGGTAATGTACAAGTCATTTTTCTTTGATAGAACAATATGGAACAAACGATTGTTTATTTATTACAATTTTTTCATTGCAGGGTAATGCTTGAAGAAGAACTCCCACGAGAAATTGTAGAATCAGAATATAAAAAATATATACCTAAGGAATGCATAAAAAGGCATGCCTTTTTTATTAGAAAACCTATTCACAATGCACTTACAAAGTTATCTGGATATGACGCTGCATATGTAAAGGAGCAGTATTTGAAACAGTTTGAACGTATGGCTCCAAATTATCCATATGAGGAATACACAGCGTTAATGGATAAAGATATTCCTAATCTAAGAGCTAAAGTCTTACTTAGGGTTACCATAGAGCAAGTAAAATACTGTGAGATTGACATTGGTACATGGAAAACGATTTGTAGGATAGAGGACATTTCTACTCTTTCTATAGGGTAATAACAAATATACGTAATAATGTATTTCAATACATTGGCTTTTCTTTTTAATGCACAATCTTAAAACAAAAATTAAAATATTCTTTATGGCTCGTATTAATTAAATATAATAAAAATAATCAATATATATTTATCTATCACATTTTCATACTTTAGAAAGAACAACACTGTATTAATTGGGAGGAGGACTGGCATACCACTGTGTGTACAATTTGACACAAAAGCGATTTTATTGTCATTTGTATCTGCATTGGACGGATATTATCGCTTATCTGTTAAGTGGAATTTTAATCTCTGTAGTGGTGATGTTAGTATTATCACGCCTTCTTTAGAAAGATTACAAAAATTAAGGTGTCATGGACCAGTTGGGTAAGATGAATTTTATAAGATGAAAGACAAAGTTCCTACACATGTAATATTTACATAGAGTCTTTAAAAATGTTTCAGAAAGGATTTTTCGTATACTAAGCTTAAGGAAAAATGTGCTAACGAGCCGGGAAGTTATATACTGCGTGAGAGTGAAACCGAGTATTGTGTTTATTATATCGACGTTTATAACAAAGATGGAACTATATCTTCGCAAGAAGTAGTAGAGACTAAACCTGATAAATTTGTAATGACAAACAGTTCTCGAGTATACGAATCTTTGAGGCATTTAATTTCTTCATTCCAAAATCCCAATGAATCAGTATACTTTGGAAAATGCTTGGGATTTTCGGAATATGGTATATATTAATTAGTCATATATGAATTGACTATGTACATGTATTTTTTAGAGGAAAAATATCGATATTTTAGTTTTTCACAATTATATACAGAGAATTTATTTTCTAGACAAGTCCAAATTATTACTTTGCGCTTCGGAAAACATCGTAAATGAAGTAGCAGCAGATGAAGAAATAATTACTACTCTATTGCAAGGTGGTCCGCGATGCGTACCATGGAATGAATTGCAAGTATACAAAGCGATCGCAAAAAGCGATGAAGATTTGACTTGTTCCACGACAATGACGAGTTTGCATCGAGCTATATGGAGAGTTGCTAAAGGCAAGAAACTTGAAGTTATGATGAAGATACTGAAGACGGAGGAGAATAATTATACCAAAGAATTTTTAGAGTTGGTCGGCAAATGGAGCCAACTGCGTTCAGTAGCTTTAGTTAGGTAAATATCAGAAATCTTAGAAAGGTATTGAATCGTGGAAGCGTGAAAATACTATGTTCTACTTTTCAGATTATATGGCATAACTGTGGCCCCGACGATCGGAATGCTACTCGAGCTAGTGAATTTGGGCCCGCTGGACAAGTACTTGTGCAGCAATAATAAATCTGTATTAACAGTTGATATGGTAGAAGCCACCGTCTGTCTGGCAACAGCTCTATGGCATTTGGTAAATTTCTCCAAATATTTGTGTTATATCTTAATGTTAATATTTTAAACATGCAAGAATATGTAGGAGGAGAATCGTGTAATTCATGGAAATATAAGATGCCGGAACGTTCTTGTACATTCGCATACAGATAACAGCTTTATTGTCAAGTTGGGTGATCCTGGTCTCTTCACTTATACCGAGGACGAGTAAGTGAAGAAATAAAAATCTTATTTAATTATATTTATTGTTTTCTTTCCAAATATAAGGATCCATGATTTTTCATTTTTTGTGCAGCATATATTGGATACCACCAGAATGTTATACGGATTTTGCATC